GGGCTCCATCAGCAGTGAAAAAAAAATATGTATATATATATATATATATATGTATGTATGTATGTATGTATTGCTGAATCTCAGAAATAGTTCAGGGAACATGTGGCATTTTTAGGAGCCTTTTATTTAGCCAGACTTGGCTTTATGCGGGGAGAGGGGGCCCAGCCGTTAGAGTGGCTTGTCTGTAAGGAGCATCTCAGGCGGAGGGGAGCTGTGGCCCCAGCTCTGCAGCAGACCGCCGGGCGTCCAGCCCGCTCCCCCTGCGCTCTGAGCCCCGGTGCAGTCCCTGTGGACCTCCGCGCTGCCGCCTCTGTACGTGCAACAGTGCCTGTGTGGACGGCACCACTGACTCGATGGGCCTGAGTCCGAGCAAACTCCGGGAGACGGTGGAGGACAGGGAGGCCTGGCGTGCTGCGGTCCATGGGGTCACAAGGAGTTGGACGTGACTGACCGACTGGAGAACCATCTGCTTGGACCAGTCGGGTCACCTGACCAGGATGAGGCCGTTCTCAGAAAGCAGTCGGAACAGCGCTTGGCTGCTCTAACAGAATACCGCAGGCTTGTATACAAAAAGTGTTCATTTCTCATAGTTCTGCAGTCTGGGAAGTCCAAGATCATGACTGGCAGATTTGCTGTCTAGTAAAGGCTCACGTCCAGGGTGCAGACTGCCCGCCATGTCTGAAGGAGCAAGGGATCTCTCCGTGCCTCCACCCTCCTGACCAGGGCCCCCTAACATCACATTGGGGGTTAGGTTCCAACATATGAATTTTAGGGGGGCATAAACATTCACGCCACACCACTTATTAAAAGTGTTAGTCACTCAGTTGTGTCCGACTCTTTGCAACCCCATGGACTATAGCCCACCAAGCTCCTCTGTCCTGGGAATTCTCCAGGCAAGAATACTGGAGTGGGTTGCTATTCCCTTCTCCAGGGGATCTTCTGACCCAGGGATCAAACCCGGGTCTCCCACATCGCAGGCAGAGTCTTTACCCTCTGAGCCACTAGGGACGCCCCATATCACTTATTAAGGAAATAATAAAACATATATTCTAGCTTCCCAGGTGGAGTAGTGGTAAAGAGTTTGCCTGCCAATGCAGGAGATGTGGGCTCAATCCCTGGGTCAGGAAGATCCCCTGGAGAAGGGAATGGCAACCCACTCCAGGATTCTTGCCTGGAGAATTCCATGGACAGAGGAGCCTGACGGTACAATCCATGGGGTCGCAAAGAGTCAGACATGACTGAGCACGCACACGGCCCAAACATACATTCTAGTTTGGTTCTGTAAAGTTCTACATTATTTTCAAGGGTCTCAGTCTGAATTCTTTCCTCAAGGGAGGAAACATTTTATAAAGTAAATACTTACCTCTGATACAATGTATTATTTTGAATTTTCATATATTAAATTTGGATAAAGTGATAGGCCTCATGTTACATTTTCTTTCTTAATTTAAGAATATACATTTTTTAAAAAGACAGTAGCTAATCTACTAGCCTGGATCTGAAGTACTGTTGCTTATTATGTATTAACTAATCTGATCTTCCTGATACTTTTATACATTGCTTACTGTGTATTTCCCATTTTATAATGAGGAATCTGGGCATAGGGGGGTTAATTGGCTTGCCTGAATTCACACACTTAATCTGTGGCGATGCCTAGATTCTTTGTTTCTGTTCAGGTGAATCTCCTCTTCTGAAAGGTTCTCAGGCAGAAGTGGTACAACTGCTTGTTGGGGGCTGGGAGGTAGGGCTTGTTATAAGAGGAGCCTGGGCACCTTCATGGCCTTCAGTTCAATTCAGTCACTCAGTCGTGTCCGACTCTTTTCAGCCCCATGGACTGCAGCATGCCAGGTTTCCCTGTCCATCACCAACTCTCGAAACTACCTCAAACTCATGTCCATCGAGTTGGTGATGCCATCCAACCATTTCACCCTCTGTCGTCCCCTTCTCCTACCTTCAATCTTTCCCAGCATCAGAGTCTTTTCCAATGAGTCAGCTCTTTGCATGAGGTGGCCAGAGTATTGGAGTTTCAGCTTTGGCATCAGTCCTTCCAATGAATATTCAGGACTTATCTCCTTTAGGATGGACTAACTGGGTCTCCTTGCAGTCCAAGGGACTCTCAAGAGTCTTCTCCAACACCACAGTTCAAAAGCATCAATTCTTTGGTGCTCAGCTTTCTTTATAGTCCAACTCTCACATCCATACATGACCACTGGACAAACCATAGCTTTGACTAGATGGACCTTTGTTGGCAAAGTAATGTCTCTGCTTTTTAATATGCTATCTAGGTTGGTCATAACTTTTCTTCCAAGGAGCAAGCATCTTTTAATGTCATGGCTGCAGTCACCATTTCAGTGATCTTGGAGCCCACGACAAGGCTGTAGGTAACGGAGCCCAACTGGTTCTTTCAAGCAGAAAAGGCATCTGCTGGTGCAAACCATTTAGCACCCAGGATCCATAGAACGCTGAAGAACAGGAGTGAGAAGAAATTAAGGAGGCTCCTGCCCCAGTTTGGGAGGATACAGGGAACTCTGGAGGGCCTCCACCAACCTGGCTGCTACTGTGGCCCCAGGCCCAGCCACGGAAACCAGCTTCCAGCAGCCAGGTGCCCTGCTCTGACCCCCAGAGGCAGCTCTCTGGTGGGAGCATCTGATTGGCCGTACTCAGGTCACACGACACACTCCTCTCTCTTTCCTCCTTCATTCACCCTTAGGCTTGGCTGCTGGGAAGGGAGAGTCCGCTCCCCTTTTATCCAGGGTGTCCTTCCCCCACTCCCTGCCTGGAAACAAAAAGAAGAGTTTGAGGTGATTGGCGGCCGAAGTGAGAAACGTCCTCTCCTTTGAGGACCTCAGCCAGGTGCTCCCCGAGCTCCCTGGCGGCCCTGGGACGCTGCGTCTAGGCTTTGTGAGGGCTGGCGTTTCCCTGGCACAGCTGGAATGGAGCTCTGTACCAATTGAGCTTCCGTGACCGTTTCTCGCTGAGGATAGTGAATGCGTTAGCCTTTGTCACAGAAGAAAACAAGGATGCACACTTATTTATAGCATCTAGCTTTTTGGTTCAGAACAGACTGTTTCAGCTATGAGCTCCTTTTGTTTATCAGGGAAACAGTTGATATTTATCATTCCTCTTAGCAAAGGAGGAAGAAAAGCACTCAAACGTTTGACTGTTTCTGTATATACATCTGAATACTTAGTGGTTGTTCTGCAGCGAACCAGTTGAGCGGAGCTGTTGGAATACACCCCCTCTCTGATCGTCGTCCACCTGCCCCTCCGCACGCCCTGACTCCTTTGCCTCATCCCGTCGATGTGCTCATCATCCTCGCCCTCATCCCCCTTCCCTAAATCAGTTCCCAGATGCTGTCGGCTTTTCACCCTTCTTCTCCCTAAGCCCTGTGCACCCCACGCTTCCCCAGCCGTACCACCCACACCTGGGCTGAGTCTGCCCCCGGCACCCCATCCTGCCTGCTCGACCTCGGCGAGCTGCCTTCCTCTCGTTTCCTCTGCTGCGCTTCCTAAACACAGCAGTGCCTGCTTGTTGCTCGTCCATGTAGCGGAGCAGGTAAGAGGGCTCGGGGGCTCTGCCGCTCGGCGTCTGCATTACTGAGAGGTGTATCCAGAAGGCGCTAACAAGCTGGTAGCGCCTTAACCGAGTGCGGGTTTGGTTTCTCCGCACGGCAGGAGGTCTGCAGTGTCCCACGGCGTCCAGGCCGGCCAGGCTCCCTGCTCAGGCATCCTGGAGAGGCACGTCTGTCCTCACGGTTCTTGCTTCCTGGCGGCCCCACCTCCAGTGTGGAGTCTGCGTCCCGGGCAGGAGACAGGCCAGGGCCGAGGGCAAGTGCGTGCCCGCTGAGCGCTCCTCCCTCCAACTCCTGCCGACACCCTGGTGCAGGGTGGGGTCGCGTGGCCAGCCCTGAGCTCTGGGTTAAGTGTATCTCCAGGGTGGTCGTGATGAGGGAGCAGCGTCCATCTCACAGCCGCTGTCGGCGTCCTCATTTGTCGCCGTGTTAGTCGCCCAGTCGCGCCCGACTCGCTGCGGTCCCGTGGACTGAAGTCCGCCAGGCTCCTCTGTCCTTGGGATTCCCAGACGAGAATACCTGGGTGGGTTGCCACTCCCTTCTCCAGGGGATTTTCCCGACCCAGGATCGAATCCAGGTCTCCGGCATTGCAGGCGGATTCTTTACTGACTGAGCCTCCGGGACGCCCTGAAGTACCAGTTCCAAATCACAGCTGTGTGTTTTCCCTTCTCATCCGTCAAAGCCCTGCTCCAGTGCATTCCTCCAGGATGCCATTCCTGTTCCCCAAGACCTCCTTCCCATGCTCTCTGCTTCCTCTTCTCGGGACCCTTGTCAGTTGGGACCTTGCATTTGAGTAGTTCAGTTACCTGCCTCTTTGCCTGTACCACATGAAAAGCTCCTTGGGGTCAAGGGTTGGGTTGTACAAATAGATGAATTCGTATGCGTTATCCTAAATGGAAATAACCACAGTCAAAAAGCTACATACTGCGTGGTTTCATTTCTATGACATTTCTTGCAAAGGAAAAGTCATAAGGACAAATGTAGGTTCCAATCTTGAAGTGGGGGGTAGGGGGGAGGGCGGGCGGAGACAGTGTCAGGACAGTTTCTCTGCAGAAGAACACGGGAGAATTTTGGGGGGTGGGTGCAGATTGGACTCCATTTCATTTAGTCTGTCTTGGTGGTTACACTGTTATATATATGGGTGCAAACTCTCAGAACTATACGCTAAAATGCATAAGATTGACTGTAAATAAAATATGTGGAAACGGAACCAGCAAAGGCTGTGTTAGCAGCTGCAGACCGTCCTGTTCCGGTACAGGGCCTGGTGGCCGGGGCCCGAGGAGGGGCTCGCTGCGGGAGGGTGCGCTCAGCGCTCCGGGAGGCCGATCTGGCGGGACTGGCCTCGTATGCACAGACACACGCTCACACCTGTCCAGCCGGGACACCGGCCGCTCTCACTCGTCTGTCTGCCTTCCTCTTTCCGAACCAGTGCTTGGAGAGAGCCATGAAGTTTGCCTTCGAGGAGTTCCACCTCTGGTACCAGTTCGCTCTGTCGCTAATGGCTGCTGGAAAAGTGAGTGTCCCCCCGTGCCGCGTAGCCCTCTGCGTCCGTGGTTAACTTGACTTGCATGGGATGAGGTGGTGCCTGGTAGACGTCTGCACCGGCTCTCTGAAACTCTCCTGTGATCATTCAGAAATGAATGGTCACATTTCATTATTTGGGGGCCCACATGGAGACATCAGGGAGAAGGAAAACTTTGAAATGCTTGCATTTTTTTCTAGTCATTGTACATATGGCTTAAACTAAGGCTGGTTCTTCACACCGACCGCTCTCAGTCACCTGAGAGTGTCAGCTGTTCCTGGAGGGGTCCGTCTGTTATCTTTAGCAAGACATGGTACGAGGCTGTGTGTGGTTGAAAGCAAGGACTGTGGAGAGGGCCTGGCGCTGCGCTCGCGGCCGTGTGCCCCACAGCGGGTCCCCCGGTACCCACCCCATAGATGCGTGGTAACAGCTTCACAGAATTGTCATCAGGCAGTGTGATGACACTCACAAGGTGCTTAGAAGAGTCTCAGCGCGAACACACTCAATAAAGACAGTGGCCACTGCTTTTCTTCTTAATTTGGGCCCTTTAATAAATAGTCAAGTCTGAGACACAAGGTTTTTTTGGGGGGCAAGTGGAGGCAGAAATTTGTATGGTACGCTTTAAATTGGGCTTCCTTGGTGGCTCAGATGGCAAAGAATCTGCCTGCAATGTGGGAGACCTGGGTTTGATCCATGGATCGGGAAGATCTCTTGGAGAAGGGCATGGCAACCCACTCCAGTACTCTTGCCTGGAGAATCCCATGGACAGAGGAGCCTGGTGGGCAACAGTCCATGGGGTCGCAAAGAGTCAGACATGACTGAGTGACTAACACACATACACACACACATTTTAAGTTGGGTAGTTTATTTTTTATAATACCATAAACCCCCACTGTCTTTCTCCCCCCCCCCCCCTTACTTTTACAAGTAGGGAATAAAGCGAGGGCAGCAATTCCAGGGAAGCATTTTCACTTGCTCTGACCACAGTTTACTCCCCAGTCCCCCAAAAGTTCCAAGCTCCAGTTACCACCATCCCCAGGCCCCTGCTCGGTTGGGCCCAAGCTGGAAAACCTTATTTAGAGGGTGTCCTCACCAGAAGCCCCTCTGGGAAGCCTTCAGTGTTTGGTCCTGGGCAGAAACGCTGAGTCTCACGCTCTCCTCCCGCCAAGTCCGCGCGTGCCGTGAAGGTGTTGAAGGAGTGCATCCGCCTGAGGCCGGACGACGCCACCATCCCGCTGCTGGCCGCCAAGCTGTGCATGGGCTCCCTGCACTGGGTGAGTGCCCGCGAGCCCGTCTCCGTCACTGCTGGGCGGAGAGGAGGCTGCACTCCAGCGAGGCTGCTCGAGCCCCGGGCCCCTGGCCTTCTCAGGCCTCAGCTCCCACCCCAGGGACTTAGGGAATCAGTAAAACTCCAGGTGCTTCTTTTTCATGGGAATGTGCTTCAAAGGTGGAAATGGTGAGAGAGAACTGGAACGCGTACTCAGATGCGTCCTGTACGCAAGTCACACAGGACGGGAAAGCGCTGGTCCCGCAGCGGTCCCCTCTTAGCCGAGCTCTTCTGTAAGGCCAAGAGTCACCCTCCGCTTTAGCGCGTGTGTGAACCCAGCCTCCTTCATCCTTCTCCTTGCACAGAGGCTTTCCTCTCAAAGGTTCTTGTTCAGGTTAGGCTCTGGGAGGAGCCTGATCTGTAACAATTGTTGTTCAGTGCCTGAGTCGTGTCTGACTCTGTGACCCCACGAACTACAGCACGCCAGGCTTCCCTGTCCTTCACTGGCTCCTGGAGTTTGCTCATGGCCATTTAGTCGGTGTAGTTCCTCAAAAGGATACCATTGGAGCAGACGCTAGAAAACTCAGACTGTTGCTGAGACTCTTGCTGGTACATAGATGACTGTCACATACAGTGGAGTCTTAATGTCTGTCTTTAACTTCATGTTGAGGTTAGTGATGGGAAGTTGCCCCAAAGACTGAGGCTCTCGCCTTAGGTTTTCTAGCATGGTCCTTGTTGCTTGTTTACATTTATTCTCACCCAGCAGAGGGGGAATTGGAGGTGGGGCGAGGCGGGAAATGTGGAAGAAGACAGGCATTTTGAGAGAGCAGGTTCTCACCTGAAACACAGCTGTGAGGGTGCCGTGTGGTACTTGCAGGTTTCGGCAGCTTGGCGTGGCAAGCGAGGGGGCGAGCAGGCAGAGTCTGAGGGGGCCAGGGCGGGGGCCAAACCTCTGCCCTTTGAACATGCCGGCTTCCAGCTGTGCCCCTGCCACACACCTTCCAGCGATGGCATTGTTCATCTCCATGGCGCCTTAAATAAACCTCTTTTTTTTTTCGAGATGAGAATAGCAAATCATTTCTGTATTTTTTTTGTATTTTTATTATTAAAATTGCCAAATACCACAGAAGTAAAAAGTGTAATCAGCTATCACCCATGTACTGTCGGCCAGCTTCAATAATATCACTACTTATCACACTCCAAAGGAACAAGTCTTGTTACTTTTGTCTCTAATGAGATGTATAAAAGGTTGCCTTATTGTGGGTGTAATTTGCAGATGCACTTTTTCCCATTGGAATCTGCTGATATGAGATCTACGTGTTGTGTATTGTACTGGGTTGGCTAAAAAGTTCATTTGGTGGAGAAGGAAATGGCAACCCACTCCAGTATTCTTGCCTGGAAAAATCCATGGACAGAGGAGTCTGGCGGGCTGAAGTCCAAGGGATTACATGACTGAGCATGTGGGCACGAGGGTGGAGGGAGATGGGTTGGTAGCAATAAACTGGTAGAACTAAAACAAAAAAAGGTCATTTGGGTTTCTGGCATGTGTGTACAAAAGCCTGAATGAACTTTTTGGCCAATTCAATAAAATAAATAGGTGGAGTTTTGAAATTTTTAACAGCTTATAGGAAAGAAAATCCAAGCCTAAAGGATTCTTTATGTCATGCTAAAAAGGAAAGACTCAAGCACAAATCATTTCAAGAACTTTATTCTTTACAAATAATACATAGAGACGTGTGTACCTTCTGAGTGCCTAGCACAGCCTAGTCACAGAGCCAGCTGGTGCAGGGCAGAGACAGAAAAGAACCCCCCAGAGTGCAAAAGGGGCCTTGGGAAAGAGGGCAGCAAAGCAATACGGGGAAGTTTAAAGGGAAAAGGCCGGGCGGGGGTCCTGAGGCCTGTTTGAGAGGCTCAGGTTAAGAGAATGCAGTCTCCAGGGTGGCGCTGAAGGCTGGGGACTTATTTGAACAGTGACTCATCAGAAATTGTCTTTGGCAGCAGATCTTTTGGGAACGCGCATTAGAAATTCTGCAAGTTGTTGTTGTTTTTAACTGATCTGGTTTTTCAGTTGGAAGAAGCTGAGAAGTTTGCCAAAACAGTGGTTGATGCAGGAGAGAAAACGTCAGAGTTCAAAGCCAAAGGCTACCTGGCCCTGGGGCTGACGTACAGTCTGCAGGCCACGGACGGTGAGTGGGGTCCCGCCCACGGGGCTGCGGGACTGCCGGGCCCCCGCGTCTCCGGAGGGCGCGGGGTGGGTGCCTGTCCCGTGGAGCCCTGCCCCCGCCCCCTGGGTGCCCAGGCCCCTCTTCACGGGGGCGTGTGCTGGTGGAGCCCCGCTGGCAGATGCGGGGTCTGCCCAGAGCTGTGAGAGACAACTCAACCCGCCTGCCGGCACGCAGCCGTGCCCCAGCCCCGGCCCGAGCCCGCCCTGTGTGCAGGGATGTTGGTCTCAGGCACCAGAACGTAGGAGTGTTCAGGGCGCACCTTGGTTCTCAGTACCCACCCCTCTCCATTTGCGCGTCCCAGTTCACGGGCACGTGCGTGTGTGGTCTGGGGGCGCACAGTACATTCTGCACGTACTCACTGTTTCGGTAGATGTGGTTTTGGCTAAAAAAAGAAATCCTAAGTATATTTTCTGTGCTTAATGAGGTTTTCAATTCAATGTTTGCAGAAAGGGTCAATTGATAAATTGTTTTTATGAACTCTTTCTATTATTTCTTTAACGTTTTGCTGTGAAATGTAACACAGACACCAAAAAAAAAAATCTCAAAAATTGTTATCTAACTCCATAAATTAGTATAAAGGAAAATATTCTTACAGTCCCCACCCTGCTCAGGAGATAGATCTTTGCCAGCCACTTGGGAGCCCTTCATGTGTTCTAGCAATCACAAGCCGCCTTAAGAAAAAACACTACCCTAGCACTCATTTCCTTTTTCTTCCTTCATAATTTTGCTAGATTTTATTTTACACATTACCTCAAATCTTTCTTTCCTCTGCTCTAAAATATCAAAGATTCTGGAGAAATTTTGCATAACCATTGATTTTCAGTAATGGATTTTTGGCTAATTTTTCATATGCACTTGATATACTGGCAATACCCAAAACACCTTTTAACTACAGCAGGCTTTCAGTGAAGTGAAATTTAATACCTTGTATTTATCCATGTAAGTTCTTGGTTTGGACTCTACCCCTGATTAGCCCTGTAACTGGCCCTGTTGGGTTCATCTGTTTGTGGTTCCCCTGGTTCACCCCTCTGCTTCCCTCTAGTTCACTTACTGTTGTTCTGAGTTAGCCCCGGGTTTCAGCTCCATCCAGTTCTGGCAGCCTTCCGTCATCCTCAGAACGATGTCAGGATGGGCTCTGCCTTGTTGGGTTCGTTAGATGAGGGCCATCTCCAGAGAAAACCATAAGCAGGCTCCTCTAGGAGTTTTTCTGCTGTTGAAGTAAAGAGTGTCTTTTTAGTTTCTACCAGATTCTGAGGTGCCATTTTCCATGTACACAGGGAAGGGGTGAGCTGATTTACAGTCTCACTGGTGAGTTTGCCTGGTCTGTCTCTGGGGTTCACATCAAGATATCAGAGGTCCTGGCCATCGCCCACGTGAATTTAACTGGTCTTTCATGGTGTCCTTGGTTCTCGGTGCTGGAAGGATCTCTGAAGACTGTCTAATCCGCCCACTGGTGCTTGGGTCTCTTCTAGTCCATTCTGGCAGAGTCGTGCTTCATCTGGGGATGACACGCCTGCCTTTGAGGATGTTCTCCTCTCTGGAACTCCCAGCTGGTCTTTTGAAGATGGGCCCCTTTTCCTGGGGTGCCAAGATTGGCCAGCCACCTCCCATTCTCTCCTTGGCGTGGTTGCAGAGTTATGCCCAAGCGTGAGGACCTCAGGTTGACCTGGCCTTTGTCCGCCATCCTCCTCAGCACCTGGGATAGACTGGGCACATAGGCACCCAGAATCTGTGGCTCTTAGTCCAGTCAAATGTGTGGTTTTTGTGACGCTTTCTATTTGTCGAAAACTCCCTGGTCTCCACGCCACTGACTAACTGTACCCTCTCCTTAGCTTCTCTGCGAGGGATGCAGGAGGTCCTTCAGAGAAAGGCGCTGCTTGCGTTTCAGAGGTGAGTGGGAGTTCCTCTCTTCACTCGGCTGTACACAGTGACACCAGGGTGCGGTGAGTATAAAAAGGAGAGATATTTATAAGGATTATGTAAACAGTGTTCCACCCCGGAGTCTTTCTCTTGAGCACCGAACATACGGCATAGAACTTACTGCATCACTTGTTGCGATGTAGATCCACAGGCTTCATCATTCTGTTCATCTGGGCACATCTTCATTCCTAATCAGGTTATTTTAGCTCCAAGAGAGGTACTTTTTATGTCCACGGAGATGATTCCTTTTATTAAAGACATTTTTCATCATCTAGAAAAAGGATCATTCTTTGCTCGCTTTTTTTTTTAACATGTCAAGCTGCACATTTTTTTATTAGGGAATGAAAAAAGCCAGATATTAGAACAGTCTCTGAAAGACTATATAAGACAGTCAGGCCAGCAGGCCCGAGGCTGCTCTATCCCTGCCATGTTCCATAACACCTTACAGTCACCTCCATCGCTGTGCCTTTCATGAAGCTAGAGAAGGCCTTCTATTAGAAAATGCTTGTGTGTCCCAGGGCCCTTTCACACCCTTTATTTGATCCTTGGCCCACGTCAGTAAGTAGATGAGACAAGGTGTGTGTTCACCGCAGCTGAGGGTCTGAGATGCAGGGATGGAGAGCCAGAGGCCTGTGGCTGTGGAAGTTGGGAAGGTCAAGGTCTCTGATGCTGACCAGCTTCTCTGGTACCCACTACACCACTGCTGCTGCTAAGTCGTGTCTGACTCTTTGCAACCCCGTGGACTGTAGCCAGCCAGGTTCCTCTGTGCATGGGATTCTCCAGGCAAGAATCCTGGAGTGGGTTGCCACGCCCTCCTCCAGGGGAGTTTCGTAACCCAGGAATTGAGCCCAGGTCTCTTACATCTCCTGCGTTATATTGGTTCTTTACCACCAGTGCCACCTGGGAAGCCCCCCATGCCACCATGCCCTGATCTGATTCTTGCTGGAGGGGTAATGAATCACTGAAAGTGTAGCACCGTGACGTCCAGTGTAGAATTGGTATTGATCCTGTCGCCTTAAATATCTGCACTACCCTGACTTCTTGGGGTTATATTAGAAGCTCAGTTACCTACCCTGACGTTGGGGGAGGCTCTCTCAGTCCCTGATAATTGTTGTTAGATCTCTGTTCTTAGAACCAGGATTGCCTGCAGATCCGTCACCGTGGACATGCTCTTTTTTTCATGAAATCATTACCTATGGGTTTCAGTTAGTCTGAGATGCTTTCATCTCTTCCCTTCCCCTTTCCTAGCAGGCTCGCCATAGCTCCTTCACACTGCCAGTCCCAGTCTGGTTAATGACAGAGTACCAACTGCCAGCTGCAAGCAGACCTCCTGTCTCTGTGCAAAGTTTCTGTTGATGTTCTTCAGCACCGAGTGTGGAAAGCATTTCCATTTCAAATGATTTGGAGTTTTAAATTCTCCAGTCCTAGTTTGTAAAACCCACACATGGATGCCTAAGAAAGTGGTCATTACATCTGTTTCACTTTTCTTAAACCAGCTCATCTTACTGGCTCTCTAAAAACAGCCATGGTGGTGGTCTGCCTTGAGCCACAGAATTCATAACTTCATGTTATGTAACAGGTGTTCCCTTGGCCTGAATTTCTTTTTGTTCCTCTTCTGCTTAGTTTCTAATTCAATGGGATTTTTAAAATATTAGTTCATATGGGAATAAAGAGGAATAAAATCCTACTAACCCATGTGATTATATTGGGGAAGGCTAACCTAAATTTGTATTTATGTGTATTTAAGTATATTTTTCAAAGGAATCAAAATATTTTGTTTCAAGTACACATTAACTAGGACTCTCCAAGTGTTACAGTACATGCCACAAAAATCTATAAGGAAAAGATTTTAAGTACATAAGGATTTGTATTACTTCTTATATGTAAATGGATATTTAAAAATCATTTGGGTGAGAATTTTTTTTTACCATATATTTTAAGTCTTCCCATAGTTAATACAACTGTTTGGTAATTTTTGGTTAAAAAGAAAATGATGTAACTCAAAAAGTGGTGAGGTTGCAGAGCTAACAGGTGAAAATTAATTAACTTGGTTATGACCGGAGTCAGAATTCAAAAAGGTTTGCTCCCTCTTGGATTCAGAAAGATGATTTTTGAAGACATCCCAGTTACGTGATCACACCATAATATTGAGACCTTCAGCTGTTCATGTGCTTACAAGTTCGGCCTAAGAGGTTGAATCAACTCGTTTGTCCTGTACAAAAGTGTAGTGAAGAAAAGCAGTGTTGTCTGCAGAGCTTTCTAAGAAGAGGAGTTGATCTGAGGGGGGCTCTCACTGGGGCTAGGGCCTGGCATCACAGTAGGTACTGCATATGCGGATGGATGGATGCATGGCTGAGTGAATGGCTGGCTGGCTAAGTGACTGGCTGGCTGAGTAGATGGATGGATAGATGAATGAGTGGATGGATGGATGGATGGATGGATGAATAGATGGTGGCCTCAGTGGGCCAGTAGTTTAACAATTGTTTCTTTTCCTGTGGAAGAAACATGGAATTAATTAATATGGAGGTGTTTTGACAAGGGAAGCACTTTGTGAGCTTCCCTGTGATGACACTTTTAGGAATTCGAATTTAACAGCAGGCTTGCAGTTTTCAAGATCACTAATGTCCTTCCTTCACCTGCATTGCTGGATGCTTTCTGTTGAGAAGGTTTTCTGTGGGCGCACAGGTACGGTGTCGTCACAGGAAGCCTCGCGGCTGAAGTCATCCTGCACAACTGGAGAGAGGTCTTCAGAGTCTCCCTGAGATGAACACCATGAACCTTCCTAGTTTTCTTGGGCAGCTTCATGTCTCCTCTTTTCTTTCATAGGCTGAAGTGACCAGATCAACTCTTTAACCAAGTTATGGAAATGAGATGTTTTAAAATGTGTATGTTTAAGTTTTAGCTCATTAGAAATTTGGCCACTGAATATTCATTATTAGCCGCACTGACACTTCTTCAGATGTTGTCCTAATGCATCCCAGTGATGCCAAGATTTCTAGCACATCTCTCTCTCGGTGCTGTGGATTTATAGCTGATAATCATTTGCAGATGCTAAGTCGGACCCTTGGTCAGAACCATTCTTATCCACACCTTGAGTTCTCCAGAGCGCTGCCAGCTTTCTACTTGGTTGGTGTTGGGTAGAGGCAACCATGATTTAATTTAACTTCATTTGTAAAAAATCTAAACCGTGCTGAGAAAATTACAGCTCTGTGGAATTCTTTTTGAGGGTTGTAGGAAGCTGGTTTTATTAATTGTGAAAGAAGATGAGATAAAATTAATAATGCTAACTAATTCAAAGTCTCTTCATAATTCATTTTGTATTCATTTTCCCTGAATAATTGGGAGAGACAGAAACCATGACATTCCAATCTTACTTTTTATGAACACCAAAGAAAAAAATTCTTTGATGTACAAATTCATGGAAAACCAATGCCTGTCAAGTAATAAAAACTGGGGCATTCTGAGTAGGCCTCTGCTAGAAATAAGACATCTCCAAGGGCAACACAAGCGAGTCTTCAGCCTCAGCTTCTTAGACTGAAGTGAGAGAAGTCCTCCAGCCATGTCTTGAGGCAAGCGTATTTCCTAAGGATGGGAGTTTTGCTCTTAAGATTGTAAAAGGGACAGAGGATACCACCTCCACCCTCTAGTTCCCCCAAGTCCCACACACGAGCTACAACATTTGCCCAAATCAGTTCAGTTCAGTTGCTCAGTTGTGTCCGACTCTGCAACCCCATGAACCGCAGCATGCCAGGCTTCCCTGTCCATCACCAACTGCCAGAGCTGGCTCAAACTCATGTCCATTGAATCAGTGATGCCTCCAACCATCTCATCCTCTGTCGTCCCCTTCTCCTCCTGCCCTCAGTCTTTCCCAGCATCAGGGTCATTGCCCAAATAATGCCCTGGCTTGTTGAACTTCACATATTTTCTGGGTTGCAAACACTCAGAAGACTTTTTGCCTTTTTCCCCACAGCAGACAGACAGCCCCATTAAAAAGGCCTTATTACCGTAGAAATCCATCCTTGGTGTGTTTGCCACAGTTGACTCCATAGTGATTGGTGTTCTTTTTCATCTTGAATTTGCTGGTAGAAGATCCTCCCTTAATCACAGAACATTGACAGAAGAACCCGAAGTTTTGCTCACTGTCTGGGCCTCCCCTTTTGTAATTAGTCTGCGCCACAGTGCCTTTTAAAGAAAGTAAAAGTTTGTTTTTCTCTTCTCACTGGACTGTTGAACACAGAATTATGTCTCATCTATAGCCACATTTTGCGTTGCTTATAAAATACAACTGACTTCCACGTAAAAGCAAGAATGACATGCTTGCCATCAAGTAAGAGGCCAGTATAGCCACTTCCTATTGGCGCCAAAAGCCAGTTAATAGACTAAGTCTAGTGTCTGGCCACAGAGTCTTACATGTTGCATGTCATTAGAAAACTATGTCAAACTTAGTAGAACCTTCAAAAGACTGAATGAGTATCCTCCATTTCTCCGTACGGTTCATCAAAAAGCAAAACCTCATTTTGCAAGCAAAGCCAGGCCTTTGATTTTCACATGGTTTCTCTGAAATCCAGAAATTTGGATGAAGTAGCATCAAGGCCAAGCCATAACTTAACCACAGCAGCCGTCGCCCTGCCGGGAGTGCTCACACCTCCCAGGGTGACACGTGGCCTCTCCTGCTCAGTCTGAGGGAGGAGCCTGGCGGGGCGGGGGGTGGGGGGGGGGTCCTACCGCGAGCCTGCATATTCTCCACCCCAGGCTCCTTCTCAAAGCCAGGCTCATCGACTGCCATTGCTGATGCGAGATGAGACCCAGAAATGTGTCACCTCATGTGCAGGGCCAAGAGGAAACTTGCATTCCATTAGCTAGTGGACAGAGGAGAAGAGTTTAGATGAAACAAAAACTTTTAAGTTGTAGTTAGACTTTATTGTACTAAGGGTATTCATATTTAAAAATACTGTGAAACTTTTAGCAACATGTATGACTGATTTATAAGTTAAAGCTGACTGAAAAGTAATAATTCCAAAATAAGGAAAGAAAGCAGAAAGAAACCAGGATCAGGGAGGAAAAATAGAAAGCACCCAAAAAAGGAAATACTTAAAACCAGATATATGGATCAGTATAATAATTATAAGTGACTGTGTTATAGAGCTAGACAAAGACAGTAACACTGGATTTATAAGCAATTTAACTCTAATCTGTTTGCAAGAGAGGTCACTGAATTATAAGAATATAGAAAACGTGAAAGTAAAGATGTGACAAAAGACTGCCATGCAAATACGAACCAAAATGAATCTGCAATAGTTATGTCAACATCATACAAAATAGGATTTTAGTCAAAAGAACTTACTGGAGACAGACTAAGATGATACCATATAAAAAGAAAACGTTGAGTCCATAAGGGCTATTAAATACGTTCATTTGTATGCACCTAGCAATATAGACCGATGTTAAATATGGGGCCTCGGTATAAGCAACAGCAGCAATGGGAGCCCTTGTTGGGTCGGGGCACCTGGGGGCCTCGCGCGCTAACCGCTGCCAACGCTCTTGCAGGGCCCACAGCCTGTCGCCTACAGACCACCAGGCCGCCTTCTACCTGGCCCTGCAGCTCGCCATCTCCAGACAGGTCAGTCCCGCCGGCCCCACGCCCGGCGCCCGCTCCGTCTCAGCGCGTCTGGGGCGGGACCTCTGCGTTCGGCGCCCCTAGGCTGCCCGGGAGCCTCTCCCCGGGGATGCCGAGTCCTCGGCAAAGGCCCCGGGGTTTGGTCCGCTGGAGCAGCAGCTGCGCAGACACAAGCAGGCAGGGCCCTGCTTTTGGAGGTCACACCCGCAATCCGGAGGGCCCCGGCTCGGGTGGGGACGGGGCAGCGCTTGGTGACCCCAGGGGTCGCCAGGGAGCCCCGTCGCTCGCTCCTAGAGCCCAGGGCTGAGCTGCGCGGCTGGGACTCCGTCACCGGAGGGGCCCTGGCGTCATACGGGGCCTCTGGGCCATCGGCCGGAGGACGCCGGCGGTGCACGCAGAGGAGACCCGTCCCTTTCAAACACGGAGGGGGGGCGGTGAACAGCGACGCACAGCGGCTCCCCGACCCTGGAGCCCCCGCTGTGCCCGCCTGGCCGCAGGGACGTGCTCCGCCGGTCTCTGCCTTCCTGGCGGCAGCTTCCTGCCGCTGCCTTTGCCGCGCTCCCCCGCTGCGGTCCCCTCCCCGCGGTCCTGGGGCCTCTGGCCCCGTGCCCGCCGGCCACGACGGCGAGACGTGGTGGTGACCAGGTGCGAGACTTGGTGGTGACCCCAGCACATTTCCCGAGCGCTGGCCGGAGGGTGACTCAAGGGTCAGCTCCCGGGACACGCCCTTCCCCCGGCAGGACAGGCCGTGGCCACGCATCTGACCTCCTGGAGCCTGGCGAAGGGCGCTAGGCGGCTCCCGCTGGGGACCGGGGACCGCGGGAACCAAGAGACCCCGTCCATGTCCAAGGCCTGACCACGCGCTGCTGCAGCGAGAGCTGTGGGCTGGTGACCCACCGCCGCCTCCCTCGGCCGCCAGGACCTCCTCTCGCCTCCTCCGTGAAGCCCCTTCACGGGGCTCCCTACTCCGCTCCTCCCTCCTGCTCCCTGCTCCTGTTCGCTGTCTTTCTCTGTAGATTGAGGTTGCCCGAGGACAGCAACCCCCGTCTGTCATCATCACCACTTTGCCCTGGCAGCTGGCCCATTGCTTGGCACGTGGTAGGCACTCACTAATACTGGGTGAATGAAGGAACCAACCTGCAATTCCTTCAGGTCAGCCCAGCCTCAGAGAGCACCACTTTGAACCCTGTATCCGCCTTTTCTTGGTTGGGTTGGACCTCCCTGAAAATGGACAGCTTGAGTGTACCTGCCTTCTTGACTCTCTCCAGATGCCAGGCTGAGTGCTGTCCTGCAGTAGGCTTTCCCCCGGGAGCGCTGTGTGTGCCGCGGGGGCCTCCGGAGGCCCCCCAGCAGGATGCTGTGCTGTGTGCCTGCCCCCCCCCCCCCGGCAGGGAGGACAACGGGGAGGGCCTTCATCCTTAGTGAAAGCGAAAGGCGCTCAGTCATGTCCGACTCTTTGTGACCCCAGGGACTACACAGTCCATGGACTTCTCCAGGCCAGAGTACTGGAGTGGGTAGCAGTTCCTTTCTCCAGGGGATCCTCCCAACCCAGGGACCAAACCCAGGTCTCCTGCACTGCAGGTGGACTCTTTACCAGCTGAACCACCAGGGAAGCCCCAGAATACTGGAGTGGGTAGCCTGTCCCTTCTCCAGTAGATATTCCTGATCCAGGAATCAAACCGGGGTCTCCTGCATCACAGGCAGATTCTTTACCAGCTGAGCCACAAGGAAGCCCCCTTGTCCACAGAGCCATTGCCCTCTGACCCGGAGGAGGGGGTCGGGGGGGACTGGAGGTCCAGCCACTCTGGTCTCAGCATGGGGCTGGGGGACCTGCCCAAGGCACGTCTCCTCTCTGGATTGCAGACCCTCCCCGACCGCCCATGAGAGGATAGGTCCCCACTGTGATAGCTGGGATTCTAGGGCTCAAAAGCAGAGAGCCCCTCTAAACCAGCATTTTTAACTTATATTCGTTAAAAATGGAACTTCATAGAGGAAAACGGATAGACATGGGGACAGACGGAAGTCATGGCTCCTTGCTAAGGAGTGAGATGCCGGGGGTTGGGAGGAAGCAGAAGAGCAGAGGGGTCCCACCCGGGCCCAGGGTCAGAGGGGGTGGGCAGGCGGCGTCCTGGACCGCGCTGTAAGGAGGCCTGTCTCAAGCCTGCTCTGAAATCCAGCTCCAGGCCCCGCGCTCCACTGCTGCTGCTGCCCTGCCCAGTCGTGTCCGACTCTGTGACCCCATGGACTGTAGCCCGCCAGGCTCCGCTGTCCATGGGATTCTCCAGGCAAGGACACTGGAGGGGGTTGCCATTTCCTCTTCCAGGCGATCTTCCCAACCCAGGGATTGAACCCAGGTCTCCTGCTTGGTGGGTGGATACTGTTAAACCTATATGGAAACTCTGGTGTTCAAATATCTGTTATGTATGCATTTTATCAACCCTTGTGTTGGGTGATTTTGAAGAAAGTCTTGAACAGCTGTCGGATCTTAAAGGTTAAAGTTGTATCTGGTCCTACTTACATTTGGATACACCTGCTTTGTGTGTGGCATTGCAGTTGTTTCTTGGATGGTGTTATTTTGGATTGTAGTTTGGAAAGGTGTGGGGTTTTTTTTGTTTGTTTGTTTGTGTATCTCCTTGATGTCTAATAGAGATCCAGGACAAAGGAACTTGAAAATAATCACAGGTGTCTGATCATTTGGAAAGCTCCGTTTAAAGTTTTGAAACTTACTAAGTACGTTCATTTCAGCGCTACTTGAAAAAAAATGGAAACTGTTCAGCTAAGGCAGTTTAAAAACTTTTGGCAATTTGTTACGTCTGCATTTAGAGTGAAATTATCTTGGGCATAATCGAAAGTAATCCAGTTGTGTGGGAAAAGGGAGAAATTGTTTATTTAGGGAGATATAAAAGATTTGGGATCGGCAGTTATACTGAGAAACAGTCTCTTGTATCACTTCATTAGTCATTCTGTCACTTGAAGGGGGCCTCTGTTTTCATGTTTGTGGTTAATATCCTGGGGCGGCCGTAAATAAGGCTTAAAATCTGAATGTGACACATGGTGAAACAACTCCTGACATTTACAGAGAATCAGAGGCTTCCCTGGAAGCTCAGATGGTATAGAATCCGCCTGCAGTGTGTGAGGCCTGGGTTCGATCCCTGGGTAGGGAAGATCCCCTGGAGGAGGGCATGGCTACCAGTTCCAGTCTTCCTGCCTGGAGAATCCCACGGACAGAGGAGCCTGGCGGGCTACAGTCCACGGGGTTGCAAAGAGTCGGACACAACTAAGCGACTGATACTTTGACTTTCAAATACTGAAATGGTGGCTGGGTGTGTGCGTGTGTCTAAGAATTCTTCTGGGTTTTATTTTAAACCAGATCCCAGAGGCTCTGGGGTACGTACGCCAAGCTCTTCAACTTCAAGGCGATGATGCCAACTCCCTGCACCTCCTCGCCCTCTTGCTCTCAGCGCAGAAGCATTACCATGATGCTCTGAATATCATCGACATGGCCCTGAGCGAATATCCAGAAAATTTTATGTAAGTGATCCCGGACTTACTTGTTTTTTCCTTATACAGAAGGTGTGAAATTTATCTCTTCAATTTATCCAAGTCCTTCATGGACGTCCTGGTGGTAAATAGTACAAAATCCTCTTTACTCTTGTTTTTTCATGATATTTAGAAACAGTTTCTCAAATCAACCTGAGTTGAAACACTTTATCCCTTTTTTTCCAGTGTGTACCCTTGAGGTATACAAGATGATTTGAAATGCATTATGGATGAACTGTTCCATTTTAACAGTTATGCATTTTTAAATGAACATTAGAAAAAATACAGCTGCATGTCAAAGTGTGATTTCATAGAAACGACTGCTCAGAGGGAGACTAAAAAATTTTAAATGAGTTGTTTTAAAGTGAATTTAAAGGAAAATATTAATATATGTGGATATGGCAAAAGCTACGTTGAACAAACGCCAATGACTAAAATTTGGGAACCATTGCTTTATAGCTTGTTTCTCCTACGTCAACAAGGACTCGCCCGAATTCCAGGTGATTACTGTATTTTAGGTGGCTTTGATCAGGATACCCAACCCCTTTGTGCCTTAGTTTTATTCTCTTGGAAACGGAATTCCTTAAATCAATCAAAATATTTGTATGTAAGCTAAGAAATGTCATTACAGAAGGCCGTGTGCTAGAATTGTCTGCGTATCTTCACCTCTTCCCTCTGAATCCCTGAATCCAGGGCGGTGATTAGGCTTTGTTGGGAAGGACATTGTCTTTGGGGTTGCTCGGTTCCCATCTTATCCTCGGTGGAGTAGCTTAGTAACCAGTACACAGTGGGCAGAAACAGTGAGCGGCCCTGCAGGCTGGCAGGTTCTAATTCTCTAATGCAGGGTCAGCAGCAGCGGGGGCTGCAGGGGCAGGGGAAGAAAGGTGGGCTGGCTCTCTGGCTTTCAGAAATGTTGCAAATTTTAAGTGGCTCAGCCTTGGCTTTATTTCTCTGCCTCCTCCCCTCACTGTGGTTTTAATTAGTCCGTTTCAGCAACTCCCCTTGGAAAATTGGTTCACACATTTCCATTACAAACATTTCTTTGTCTTCAAGTGAAAAGGGCATTTCTCTTCTCCCCACGGAGAAAATTCTCGTTATAATCCAGGAAACCTCTGACTGGAGATTTCTTCTGTAGGTCCAGCTATTTATGCGGAGTGAATTAAAGGGTTTTGCCTCCGTGTTTGACTTCTTGCAGGTCTCAAGCTTGCTCTTTTGCTCTCTGAGGACACGTCTGGATTTTATCCAAGGCTGGTTAGCCCATGGAACCATAAAGTGGTTGAAGCACTTTAAAAAGCGTGCGGCCCATCAGTAAAGTTTAGCCTGATGCAATTGAATTCCGTTACTCTCATCAATATTTATAAAGTGGCCGCTCCTGCCTCCCACCCTCGGCACCTTCGTTAGAAATCAAGTCTCCAGCCTGTGGCTCTCGCGTAGACAGCCTGGGGTGTCATCCGAGAGAAGAGCAGGCTTATTAAACTAATAGCCGCGCTGCAGTGCAAGCAGTAAACAGTGGTGGCTAATATGGTAATGCCTCCAAGTGACTGCAGCTGACAGCCTTTTCAAGTAGTGGAAGTAAGGAACAGCAGTAGAGATATTTGAGGAATGCGAGCCTGTTATTTTAATGTTAAGCTGTGAGCTCAAAAAAGCAGAGCATATGGCAGCAGGACTGAGAGCCCTGATGACTTGTTTGCTTTTTAAATATTTGTATTTCTTTCTTTGTGATGGGTAACTTCTTCCCAAGAATACTTTATTAAAAGTCGGGGGGCCAGATGTAGTAGGTGGGTCCCATGGTTTCTTCCCATCCTGGGTAAAACATTTCAACACCAGCCTCAATAGGGTTCCCTGGGCACCTGTCCCGACTGCCCTGTAGCGTTCTCTGTCTGTCTGTGACCAGCTCGTCTCCCGCAGAGCTGCAGGCTCTGGGAAGCCTGGGATGGCCTCCTGAGTCTCGTGTCCCCACAGTCGTGACCTCCCCCAGCCTGGGGGTGGAGTGGATGTTTCCTCAGCCCCTGCTAGGGGGAGATGAGAGCGGTTCCTGCTGTTAGGGCCAGGCCTCCCCAGCGGTTGAACCAAGAATTAACTGAACTAGCGTCTTAGCCTGATGCAGAGAATTACAGAGCTTTTTGGTTCCCACTGGGGGCTTCCCTGGTGGTTCAGATGGTGCAGGATCTGCCTGTGATGCAGGAGACCTGGGTTTGATCCCTGAGTGGGGGAGATCCCCTGGAGAAGGGAATGACTACCCACTCCAGTGTTCTTGCCTGGAGACTCCCACGGACAGAGGAGCCTGGACAGTCGGACACGGCTGTGCAACTAACACTTTGACTTTCACACTTGGTCCCCGTTAAGCCAAGGAACTTGAGCTGCTTCTTCAAGATACATAACCACACCTTCGTAACAGAATCGGTTTATTCTGTGCTGTCGCTGCCTCTGCTAGGTCTTCCGCTGCGCGCGGCTGTCCCCGGCCGCGCTGTGCTGCGGAACGTGGGCTTCTGGGCTCCAGGGCGCGAGGGCTTCAGTGCTGGCGGCGCGCCAGCTCGGCAGTCGCGGGCTCACAGCTCTGGAGCGCGGGCTTAGTTGCTCTGCGGCAAGTGGGATCTTCCCGGACCAGGGCTTGAACCCATGTCTCCTGCGTTGGCAGGTGGATTGTTTACCTCCAAGCCACTAGGGAAGCCTGCCCACCAGCTTTTCTCATCTCGTGCTGACAGTCAGGATGGTTAGGCAGCCCTGGAGAGACCAGCTGCTCCTCCAGAGGCAGTCCGCTGTCTCGGCCAGGGCAGTGAAGGCATTCGTGCATGGTGATGTTTCAATAATTGAAAGGCATTCCTATAAATATCATTACAACTAACACAGCATCTTCACATGTGCTACTTTGGAATCCTTTAACATGATTAAATATTGAGTAGAAGCAAAGACTATTTATTAAATCTATTTAAAATAAAAATACAAGTAACCTATGTATAAATGCTTCTTTGTGTAACAAAAACCCTTAACGTTGCCTGTGAATTTCCCATGCACTCTGCTTTCCTACCCCGGCCTCTGCCCGCCCAGGTTAACTGCTGCCCTGAATTCTATGTTGAGCAGCCTTTTGTGTTTCTATACCACAGATGTTGGTGTTCCTAAATCATAAAAATTTCTGGTTTTGTGTATTTTAAAAATTTTTAATGGAATTGTACTCAGTAATAATGCATTCATATTCTTTTTTGCATTGCTTTGCTTTATGTTTCTGAGGTTATCCCTCTTGCATAGAGCAGCAGTGTGTTCATTTATCCGAATGGTACTGTATTGTGTAAATATACCCAGATTTCTGTTTCTAGTCTACGTAAGTGGGTACCTGGGCTGTTTTCAGTTTCTGACCGTTATGAAGCATGCTGCTACAGATATCCTTACACGGTTCTCCTGATGCCTGTGTGCAAGCGTTTTGTCAGGTAGACTCCTAGGAGTGGAATTGTTGGGCCATAGGATGCGGGTGTCTTCTGTTTACCCAATAATTCCAAGCCATTTCCAAAGCTGTTGTGCCCATTCTCTTCTCCACCAGCAGTGCCCACGAGCCTGCGTGGCTCCCAACACCAACACACAGGCTTGGTGGGCGCTGGTTAGTGGCACCATATTGTGAGTTTAAGTGGCGTGCTGTTCATTCTTAATGAGGATGAGCACCTTTTTGTTCGTTGGTCATTCAGCTTTTCTCTTTTGTGAAGTACATGTAGAAGTCTTTTCTACTTGGGTTGTCTCTTTCATACTAACTTGTCAGATTTCTTCATGTATCATAGTTCAGAAGGCTTTTGTTGGCTACATGTGTGGTGAAAATCTCCCAATTGGTGTCCTGTCTTTGCTTTCTCTTAGTGGGATCTTTAGAGGAACAGAAGTTCTTAAACTATAGTTGAATCAGTCCTATCCGAGGACTGTAGTTCTGTGTCTGGTTTAAGATGCTTTTCTTTTTATCTTCTAAAGCTCTCTAGGGTTGTCTTTCATCCCTGAAGCTAGAGTCCATCTGGAACTGACTGCTTTGTGTATGGGAATATAAAGGACCAGGGTCATTTTTCCCATGTGGATACGCAGGTGTCCAGCATCATGTATTGAAAAGACTCCTTTCCCTGTTTCTCCCCAGGCAGGGCCGCTCTGGTCTTAAATCAAACATCCGTCCGTGGGAGGAGCTGATTGTCAGCTTCCCACCTGGTCCTGCGGTTCTGTGTGACTGCTGCTCTAGCATCCTTCTCACCACGTTATTATCCATGAGGTCGGTCCACCCGTAACTCGCTGCTTAGGGGTGTCCTGGCTGTCCTCAGGCCTTTGAGCCTTCAGATAAATGTTCCAATTTGCTTTTCAAGTTCCACCAAAAAAAAAAACCTGCTGAGATTTTGACTGGAAATATTGGATTGGCCAAAAAGTTTGTTCAGGTTTTTTGTACCAGCTACGGGAAAACCCAAACAATTTTCTGGTCAACCCAATACATTTACTCTAATAGCTTGGTTGGGGGAAAATTAGGTATCTCTAATTATTTAGACCTTTAAAAATACTTTTTAAATGAAGCTTTATAATTTTCTTTATAAACATTTTGCCAGTGTTTACTGGATTTATTCCTAGTTTCCTGAAAAAAATTCCATGCTTTTCTTCTTATACCTCTATTTAAGAGGATAAGAAAATTTCTTTCTTCCAAGAAGGCTTGGTAAGAGTTTGTTTCTTTAATCATAAATTGATATTAAATTTTATCAAATGCTCTTTATGTATTTATTAATATGATTATTATATAATTTTACTCTTTTAATCTGTGAATGTTATATTAATTGATATTTTTAAATGTTAAATTAACCTTGCGTTCTTGGAGTAAGCCCAACTTGATCGTAATCTATTAGCTTTTTAATGGATTCAGTTTATTCATTTTCTAAAGAACATTTATGTTCATGTATGAAATAGATTATGTTTTTTCTTTCTCATTATATCCTTGTCAGGTTTTGGCATCAAAATTAGGCCAGCCTCATAAAATGAGTTGCAGT